GCTCTACTCAGACAGGGACAGGTGTGGCTGCTATGACCAGAGAGCCCTAGCATGGAGTGGGTGAAGGCCAGGGAAGTTCCTAGCACCTGGAGGTCCCACAATGCCCCCATAAAAAATGGCAGTCAGCTAACTCACAGACTTTGTACACAGATGGCCTAAAGCCTTCCAAGACCTGACTTTGAGCAGCAGAGGTGGACCAGGCTCAGGGTCAAGGTCAAGGGAGCCAGGTAGGCAGAGGGAAGGGCCTTACAACCATTGGCAGAGCCATGGTCACAGGCAAGAGCTGTAACAGCAGATGGCAGGACAGGAAGGAGAGAGCTGAGAGAGAGGGCCACCGTGTTCTCTCTGTGGCTGCTGGGAAGCAGGGGCAGTCAGGTGTGGCAATGCAGGCAGAGGCAGTGACAGTGGAGACAAATAAAAATATAACCCTGGGTCAGAGAGAAATGGGTGGTGTTCACAGTGGGTCAGCGCCACCGATGCTGTAGCAGGACTAAGCCTGAGAGGGTCAAGAACTCCGAGAATTAAGGCTTCTGTTTATAGATCCCAAGGACTCAGAGGACACAAAAAAATGGAGAAGCCCGAGTGCCAAAAGCCCTAGTGACCAAGCTCATCTACGTTCATGGGAACCTGTGTGTGCTGTGGGGAGGACAGACTGTGGGGTCGGGGGTACCAGTCAGAGGATACAGCACCGCAGAGAGCCCACCAGGCCTTGTTTGTCCCTTTCTTCCCTCTGTCCTTACTGCACTGTGACTGTAATGTACTGTCCTACCTCAGAACCTTTGCACAGCTGTCCCTCAGACAGCAGTAGCACTCTTCTGGGAACAAAACCTCAGTGCAGTCACCCACTGGCCTCCCTGGTGGGCGACTCTCCGCACACCTGCATGCACTCGTCACCTGCACACATTCTGCATGCACTCGTCACCTGCTGGAGTCCTCTCTCGACTCATCACGACCGCACACAAAAGTCTCCTTAATGTGGCTGAATAGTCACCATGTCCTACCTGACCAACCTGAGGACCGCACAGGGGCAGGGCTCTGCGACCACTGTCTAGTTCCTGTATCTAGAGTGCCTGACAGACAGTAGATGCATAATAAATGCTCAATGAGGATCAGCAGGATGTCTCGGTGGATAAGGGTGCTTGAGGCTGCCATGCCTGGAGATCTGAGTTCAGTCCTTGAGACCCATGTGGTGGAAGGATAACAGAACAAAATGAAATAAAAATAAACAAACCGATGGGCCTGGTAGTGCGTGTCTTAAATCCGGGCACTCAGCAGGCTGGAGGATCTCCTGAGTTGAGGACTCCCTAGTCTACAGAGGGAGTTCCAGGACAGCCAGAGCTATGTAGTGAGACAGGATAGTACTGGGTACACAGCCAGGGCCTAATATGTGCATACTGGGGTCTGGAGATGCAGCTGAGTTGACAAAGTGATTGTCTGTCATACATGAGGACCTGTGTTCAGCTCTCAGTCAAGAGGACAGCAGCAGAGAGGAGAGGAGAAAGAGACACAGATAGGAAAGAGAAATGTTTATTGACATAATTAAGCAGTAAACAGACAAAAGAGTGCAGGGCACAAAGTGGTTGTGTTTTATTTGCTTGTTTTTTTTTTGTTGCTGAGACAGAGTTGGGCCTTGTACTATGTAGCCCAGCATAACCTTAAACTTCTGACCCCCCTGCCTCCACCATGTAAGGGTGGCAGCTTCCTCTTGTCCAAGCTATACTTGAAAAACTGAGACAGAAGGATTTCTTTCTTTCTTGTTTGTGTTTTTTGTTTTTCAAGACAGAGTTTCCCTGTGCAGCCCAGGCTGTCCTGGACCTTGCTGGACCAGGCTGGCCTCAAACTCAGAGATCCACCCTCTTTTGCCTCCTGAGTGCTGAGATCAAAGGTGTGTGCCACTACCGCCTAACAACAGGAGGATTTCTTGAGCCCAAGAGATCAGGGTCAGCTTAGGTGAGTTCCAGGCCAGCCTGGTCTGTGTAGTGATACACCGTCTCAAGATACAAATAAATAACACAAATGACACAAAAATAAAAGTAATTATTTTTAAGAGAGAGGGAAGAGGAAAGGGGAGAGTGGGGGGAGAGAGGGGTGGTGGTTTGAGGGAGAGAGGGAGAGAGGTGTACTCAGTGGGTAGAGCACTCATCCAGCATGCCTAAGACTCTGTGTGATATTCCCAGAACAGCAGAAACCAGGATTGGTGGACGGGTGGGTGAGTGGATGGCTGGGTTTGTGGGTGGGTGGAGTGTAAATAGGCCTTTCTTTCTTTCTTCCCTGGCTTTCTCTCCTTGGCAGAACTTACAGTCTCTTGTGGCACAGGAGGCCCCTCCTCCAGTCTCTGCTGACTGTCAGCTCTGGATTTGCTGTTGGAGCTGGAGAAAACCTGGGAGTTAGAAGATCTAGGGATCTAGGGGGTTACTAGGAACTGAGCGAGCATCCAGGATCACAGGGCTGTGCTGAGGGTCAGGAGTTGGATTGCCGTTCCGAGTGTCTGTGGGAAAGGATTTGAGGAACCTGACGGCCTGCAGGTGGCAGCCCAGCACCCACTCGCGACCCTGCGCCCACCTTGCTGTCCCCTCGCCTTCATCCTACCTGGCTGTGGGGGTCCTGAGCTGGTAGATCTCGGGGTCCCGGGTGGCTGCTGGAGGCGGAGGAAGAGGTAGAGGAGGGAACGTTTAGTTCCACCCCTTCCTCCCTTCCGGGTCTTGTGGGGAGGAGAGAATGAAGTCAGCAGTCTCGCCTGTAATCTCATCTAGCTGAGCCAGGCCCTGCCCTCCCGCCCAGTGCCCCTGCGCCACGTGGAACTAGGCAGGGCTTGTACTGTGTGAGGCCAGAGGTGGAGAAGGAGGAAGGAACCCTCCACCCCCAGAGATCGTTAGGCTGGTGGCCACGGAGCTCAGCTAGTGACAAACTCTGGAGATTTGCAAAGCACCATGTGGCTAAGTTCACAGGGCCCCAGTGACTCATGCTTATCAGTCCAGCAGCACACAGGAAACTGAAGCAGGTGGATTGCCCCGAGTTCCACCTCCATCTCAAAACTAAGTTAATATAAGTAAACAGAAGTGCTGGAGGCCAAAAGGTTTTGTACAACTGTTTAGTTGTGAATATTTAAAATTCTTTACTATATTGTGTGTGTGTGTGTGTGTATGTGTGTGTGTGCGCGCACAGGCATTTATGTATGTAGGTCAAAGAACAGCAAGTAGCTTTTCTTGCTGAGCCATCACAGAGACACAAAACAAAAATTTGTCGGAGAAATCTGGGTATTTGGTTTTGAGAAATGATTTTTGTATGTACTGGAACTTAGGGCTATCTTCCTGTCTCAGCTAGACATCAAGATTACTGGCATGTTTTAAAACTGATTAAATTGTGAAAACAGAAAAAGCAGCAGTTTACAGAGGACTATGACTGGGAGGCGGGGTGTACCAATGAACCACCCACCTCCACCCTCTTACTGGGGATTCTAGGTGGGAGTTTCTGTCTCATATCACCGAACACGATCTGTCCAAGGCAAGTCTCAGAATGGCCTCTTGGTTTTCTTTTTTGTTTTGTTTTGTTTTTCGAGACAGGGTTTCTCTGTGTAGCCCTGGCTGTCCTGGAACTCACTCTGTAGACCAGGCTGGCCTTGAACTCAGAAATCTGCCTGCCTCTGCCTCCCAAGTGCTGGGATTAAAGGTGTGCACCACCACTGCCCGGCACCTCTTAGTTTTCATATGCGTACATATTTGTGGAGGTTGGCATCAAGTGTTCTCTCTTGGTCACATGGTTAGGAGACAGTTGTCTGAATCCAGCCATCTCAGGAACAAGTCCCATCTTGCTGGCAGGGTCAAAACTGAGCTCATGTTCCCAGGCCCCAGAACCCAATCCTCTCCTGCTTCCTCTTGCTTCATAGATTTTTCATGTTTTGTCTGTTAACCAGAAAAGGATGAGAAGAGGGAAGATGCCATTATCCTGTTGTCTAAATTAAGACACACAGGTCATAAATGTGCTCCTGTCTCTTAGCTCTGTGCTGCTCACTCACTCCTTTGTTCCTTTTGTTTTTTGTTTTGTTTGTTTGTTTGTTTGTTTTGGTTTCCCTGTGTAGCCCTGGCTGTCCTGGAACTCACTCTGTAGACCAGGCTGGCCTCGAACTCAGAAATCCACCTGCCTCTGCCTCCCAAGTGCTGGGATTAAAGGCGTGCGCCATCACCACCCGGCTTGCTTTGTTCCCTTATCATTCTAGACTCCAGGTCAGAGTCCAATAGGGGACCTGGCTATAAAAGCTGACTCAACAACCCTGAAACCAGGTGACCCGGATAAGGCCCAGTCACCAATGTTAACTTCCTTGTTTAACCCTTGTGTCGAAATATGATTGGTCAATACAACGGCCCCTGGCCCCCTTCACTTCCTGTTGCCATCCTATAAAAAGGTTGTGCGGTCTCTCTTCGGAGTTCAGATCCCAAACTGGCAGCCTCCCTGCAAGTGCAGAAAGTAACGCTTCCCTCTTTAAGCTTCTGTCTCTGCAGTGAGTTCTCTTGGCTTCCACTCCAAACCCACCAGGCCCACCACTCACCACTACAGCCATCTCTCCTGCCCCGAGTTCCCATCAGCCCCACCACTCACCACTGCAGCCATCTCTCCTGCCCTGAGTTTTGCTGTTTTGAGACACGGTCTCAATATAGCCCAGATTAGTCTCCAACTTACTAGGTAGCCAAGGATGACCTTGAACTCCTGATCCTCTTGTCCCTACCTTCTGAGTTGGGATGACCTTGAGGTCAAGGGGAACCAACCTGGGACATGTTTGCAGGTTCAGCTTATCACACTGACCCTCCTCCACACCTCATGGAAACAGAGGGAAAGTAGGCAGTAGGTCCTTCCTGCTGCTCCTACATAGCCACAAGCGGTCACTTCTAACATTCAAGGTAGGAAGACTTGCACTGTGCATAAAGCAGGGACAGAAGGAAGAAGGCCCCTAGGGATGTCATGGTAGCTCAGCTGCTAGGAAGGGAACACACACATAGACCATCTGCCTGGCCTCTGATGCACGTAAAATTTATTAAGGCAATACTGAGCCCCAGGATTTGAGAAACAGTGGACACTCAGCCCTTGGTCACTTTCTCATCTGAAATGATTTCAACATCCCAGCTGTCCACCCTGTCACAGTTGCTGGATTCTTGGACCAGGTATCAAGGTCTGCTGGAAAAGCTTGTTATTGTGAGCCATGACGTAGGAAAGAAACTGGAGTGGAATATCACTGTGCCTGATTTACTTCAAGACAAGGTCTCATGTAGCTTAGACTATCACTGAATTTGCTATGTGGCAGTCGGGCTTTGAACTTGTGATCCTCCTGCCTCTACACCACAGTGCTGGCACAGGAAGACAGGCTTGTACTATCACTACTTATTACCCTCATTTTCTTTTTAGGAAGAAAATTTTTTTCTAGAATGTTCTGATTTTCCCCCCCTGGAACATTCTAGAAAAAATATTTTTGCTTTAAAAGACTGATGGGAATAGGCTAAATACATGTCTCGCTCAGACTGAGTAGGGAGGACCTGCTGTTCAATAGGATTGTTGGGAAAAGCGGTCAAGCTAGATAGAGGATGGCCCTGGTCCTTCTCCCTGCTTCTCCTCAGGGGCTTTTTCAGTGATTCCAGGAGCAAAGGGGCCCACCAGCCACATGGCTGGAGTGTTCTGGGCCACGTACTCCACAGTGTGGTCAAGGGCCTCCCGAGCTCTGGCTATGCGCTCCCGAGTTTGGGCAAGAACGGTGGCTGTGAGGTCCTGGAAGGAGTGGATGCCGGAGAAGGTGGCCTGAAGGTCATCCACCTGGCTGCGGGCCTGCTGGGCCTGCTCCCTGATGTGGCTGGGCAGGCCCTGGATGCTGGCCCCCAGGGCGCCACACGTGCTCTGCAGCTGCTGGGCGATGTCCCTGAACATGCTGAGTGCCCGGGCCTCCACCTGCTGAAAGGGGGAGATTGGAGTGGGGTGAGGGGTGTTGAGGCCCAGCAGGGTGTAGTGCCCAGCTTGGAGGACAGGAAATTGGCTCCCTGAGTTTGGAATTAGAAGACAGATTCCCAAAACCTTTTCAAAATATTTAAGATTTTCAGAAAGACACTGGAAGATGCCTGGAATCATCAGAGACAAAAGCCCATGAGGTGGGGTGGGGAGGGGGAATCAAAAGCCAAACAACAAAAGTTAGAAAAAATTTACAAACCCCAAACAAACCACAATATGGACACTAGGAGGCCAGATGTGGTACCACACAGTTGTGATCTCAAAACCAAGCCAAACCAACCCACCCACACCCCTAAGTAATAATAATAAAAATGTAAAAATTAAAAACTGAAGCCAAAACAAAATAGAATCCTGTCAAGCATGAATTCTGTGGTTGCCTGGGACAGAAGCATGATTTACACTGAACAGGGCATGGAGATTCACATGGGGACTCTGGGGCCCAGCGGGTACCTCTGGCTTAGCTGGGTCCTTTTCAGCATCCTGTGGGGTCTTCTTCTGGTTCCAGTTGAGCCACATCTGGTGTAGCTTCTCCTGCCCCTCCCCCAGCCTCTGGTCCACGCCCTGTTTCAGGGATTCCATCTACAGCACAGAGACAGGAGCCTATCAGAGGGAGCCCATGTCCCAGACACGGGGTTCCGGCTGGAGAGAGCAGGGATGGGCATGCTCTTCATTTACTTTTTTTTTTTTTCTTACTAGTCTGGAATTCACTCTGTAGGCCAGGCTGGCCTCTGACTGAATGAGAGGCATACACAAGGAGACACATGCTTTTATTTTTCCCCTTGGGCAGTGCTGAGGATAGACCCTGCTCCACCACCAGCCACCATCAGCTTCACATAAATAAGTTGGAATAGTACACATGTGCCTCAGCTGCTCGTGCTGGCCGAGCGACTCAGTGACCAGCACCCCTAGCCAGCCGGGTAGAGAAAAAGGCCCAGGCCTTTGTTACACAGCCTGAACTGACTGATACACTACGGTGTGGAGGAAGCCAGCCCAGCCCACCTGCCGCTGGGTAACATCTCAGCTAAGCTCAAGGAGGGGAACCGCAGGAAAGAGGCCCCAGCCATGGCCACAGCAAGAGGCTTACCAGGCTGAGCACATGTGTGAGCTGCTGCAGGGCCTCCTGTGCACTCTGCCTGGCGTTACGCAGCTTGCCGAGTGAGTGCTCATAGGCATGATTGCGCAGCCTCTCGGAGAGCGAGCCCAACCGGACAAAGTAGTTCTGCTCCTGTCTCTGCTGCTGCAGCGAGGCCATGTCTGAGCCCTCCGGGGATGTGGCAATCAGAGCTGCAGGGACAGAGGGAAAGAGTGCTCAGGCTCACACTACTCAGTCCATGCCATGTGTCAGGCAGCTGGGAAGCTGAGGCAAGTCTCTGGCAACACGAGCTACAAAAGACCTTGTCTCAGAATAAAATGCAAAAAGAGGGCAGACGGTGTGGCTCAGTGGTAGAACAGCTACCTGGAAGTTGGTTCATCCTCAGGACTACAGGACTAGAAAACAAAGATGGGCAGGCGGATTTCTGAGTTTGAGGCCAGCCTGGTCTACAGAATGAGTTCCAGGACAGCCAGGGCTACACAGAGAAACCCTGTCTCTCTCTCTTTTTTTTTGAAACCCTGTCTCGAAAAACCAAAAAAAAAAAAAAAAAAAGAAAAAGAAAGAAAAAGAAAACAAAGATGGGCAGGCAAGATGGCTGAGTAGACCAAGAGGCTTGCTGCCAAAGCCTGATGACCCAAGTTCAACCCATGGATCCCATGGTAGGAGAGAACAGACTATCAGAAGTTGTGCTCTGGCTGCCCCATGTGTACCTAGGACAAGCTTACCTCATATGGATTAAAATGAAATGTATCTTTAAAAATTGGGAGGATAGACCCCCAGAGCCTCCTGGTCAGGCAGCCTAACCAAGTCAGAGTCCTAGGTCACTGATGCTCTCTCGAAAAGCAGGGGAAGACTGGCTTGGGACAGACAGACAGCTGTGGCCTCTGCACCATATTCAGTGAGAGGCCACTGAGACATTCAGAGACAAGGAGTCAAATCCTAGGGCTTTTTATTTGGTTTGGTTTTTGAGACAGGGTCTCACTATGTAGCCCAGGTTGGATTCAAACTCATAGACATCTGCCTGACTGTCTCCTGAGTGCTGGGATTAAAAGCGTGTGCCATCATGCAATGTAAAATTCTATACTTTGAAAAAACATTTTTCCCTCTTCTCACTTCTCCTTATATGATAAATTTTGCAAACCAATCGGCTACTTTTTGGTTTGGGCCAGCTGGTGTATGACAGTTCTCCTGGAAGTCAGGATTGCATCTGGGAGTCAGACAGCTCAACTGGCCTGAACTGAACTGGGAAGTAAAGAGGCTACCCTCCAACTTCCAGTCCTCCTGCATCCAACTCCTGAATGCACACCACACCTGGCTGTTGTGCTGTGGATGGAACCCAGGACCTGTTGTGTGCTAAGTCTACCCACTGAACCACAGCCTCAGCCTGAAGCTGATTCTTGTGTTGTGAGACAGTCTTGCTATATAGCCTTGGTTAGCCTAGAATTTCTCATCTTCCTGCCTTATCCCTGGGATGACAGGCACAGGCCACCTTGCTTGGATTACAAGGCTAGGTCCCACATGACTCTGCTATTCCTTACCGACAAGGCACCTGGGTCCTACAGGACAGCCAGGGATGCCTCTGGGAGCAGTGGTTAAGCCCCGGGCGGCTAGATGAGAGCCGCCCCCACAGGGCCACGGTTTCCCTTTATGCATGGCCCTCAGACCCTTGACTTTTTTTTTTTTTTTTAGCAGTCACCGGTACTTTTACTTGTAACAAATTATTCCTGATTTCTTCTGCTCAAAAGTTCTTTGAGACAACTCCATTTTGGAGCACCTTCCTATTTTCTCACCGTGCACCCTTCTCCCAGGCTGGTGGGCATCTCCTGCCATCTGTTGGGGAACTGCTGAGGAGCGGCAGCCCGGTTTCCCCTGCAGAGGGTCACTGTAGGCTGGGAGTGAGTGTCTGTCTTGCTTTGGATGAATACACGCCACGCAAAAGCTGCCGGCTCAAGACCAAGGAGGAGCTACCCCTCTATAAAAGCTGGGGTAGTCACATACACCAGTACTTGAGAGGTGGCTCAGCAGGTAAAGGGACTTGTTGCACAGCCTGACTTTGAACCTAGAACCTCCATGGAGGAAACACTCCACCAGAGGACTTGGAGGGCTGTGGGCAGAGGAGGGAGTCCTTTCAGGGACAGTTGTGGTGAAGACCAAGCATAGGCACTGAGACAGGAGGTGAGCCAGGCCAGAGAGACCAGGGTGAGGACACTCACCTAGCTCCCCATCTGTCAGGGGCAGGCGATTGTCTGCCCAGGCCTCCGATTTCACCAGCACCCTGTCCATTCCGCTAATCACCATCTGTCCCACTCGAGAACCCATGACTGACTGGACACCGCTGGTTACTGCTGACTTGGTCATGTCCACACTGGTTTGCACAGCCCCGCAGGTCACATCCACCGCTCCTGTGACCTGGGTGGCCACTGTGTCCTTCGCACTAGACACTGAGCTGGATACCATTTCTCGAGCCCCAGACACTGTAGATGACAGCAGTTCCTTAGTATCCGCCAAAACCTGCAGGAAGGGACACATCGACATCCTTCCACACTGGGATACCCAACTCAGGCAGGCCATGGGGTCATCCTAGCCTTGTGTGGCTAAGAAGACTTCATAGCTGGGATTATGGTTCATGCCTTTAACCCCAGCACTGCATAGCAGCCTGGACTACATAGTAAGTTCCAGGACAGCCATCACTCAGCCTCTCTGTGGTTTTGGTTTTTATTTTATCTTTTTTTTTTTTTTTTTTGTTTTGTTTTGGTTTTTTGAGACAGGGTTTCTCTGTGTAGCCCTGGCTGTCCTGGAACTCACTCTGTAGACCAGGCTAGCCTCAAACTCAGAAATCTGCCTGCCTCTGCCTCAGAAGTGCTGGGGTTAAAGGCTTACGCCACCACCACCCAGCTTAAATTTCTTTTGATATTTGTATGTCTCACAGTATGTGTGTGAAGTTCAGAGAACAACTTGTGGGAGTCGATTTTCTCCTACTCTGTGGGTCCTGGGGCTTGGTTGCAGTCACCTTCACTCACTGAGCTATCTTTTTTTTTTTTTTTTTTTTGGTTTTTCGAGACAGGGTTTCTCTGTGTAGCCCTGGCTGTCCTGGAACTCACTCTGTAGACCAGGCTGGCCTCGAACTCAGAAATCCGCCTGCCTCTGCCTCCCAAGTGCTGGGATTAAAGGCGTGCGCCACCAACGCCCGGCTTTCACTGAGCTATCTTGGCCCTATTTATTCTTTCTTTTTGGAGACAGGGTTTCTCTGTGTAGCCCTGGCTGTCCTGGAACTCACTCTGTAGACCAGGCTGGCCTCAAACTCAGAAATCCACCTGCCTCTGCCTCCCAAGTGCTGGGATTAAAGGCGTGCACCACCACTGCCCAGCTGGCCCTATTTATTCTTGACATAGGGGCTTATGTATCCCAGGCTGGCTTCAACCCTAAACTCACTATGTAGCTGCAGTCTATGTAATAGCCCAGGTTCAAATGCGATGTTGGAAAAAAGAAAAAAAAGAAAAAAAGCCGGGCGGTGGTGGCGCACGCCTTTAATCCCAGCACTTCTGAGGCAGAGGCAGGCGGATTTCTGAGTTCGAGAGTTTGAGGCTAGCCTGGTCTACAGAGTGAGTTCCAGGACAGCCAGGGCTACACAGAGAAACCCTGTCTCAAAAAAACCAAACCAAAAAAAAAAAAAAAAGCCATGTTGGCCAGAGCCTGGTTCCATGTGGCTCAGAGGGCAGAGAGACCTTCCCAAATCCCAGGCCCAGAGCCTCAGAATAGGCTCCATCTCACGGGCCTAGAGACCCTGACCCTAGACTTCTCCCTTCTATAATGGGAGCACCACTGGGAAGGATACTTTAAAGCCGGCCTGTGTTGGGAGAGAACATTCTGGGAGTGAGAGAGAAAGGGCTGCTGGGAGGCCGCCAGCTGCCTCAGGCCCCAGATCATCCAGATGACATCAAACCCAGAATGTCCTATTGTCTGGGCATTGAAACTATCCCTGGGCATGGTACACAGGAGTATAGGGTAGGGGCCTAGCCATGCCATCAAACCCAGAATGTCCTATTGTCCGGGCATTGAAACTATTCCTGGGCATGGTACACAGGAGTATAGGGTAGGGGCCTAGCCCACAAGGATAGGAAAAGAGGGTTCCTGCAGCAAAGTAACTACCCAGACTTTGATTCAGAGGCCAGATAGGATAGGGTCCAGGTGGAGCCCCTGCCTAGAATCCCTCAGTGAGAGACTGGGGGTATGGCCAGGGGTTTGCAGAGCATTCAAGCCAACCTGGGCTATTTCAGTAAGAGCCTGTCAAGTAAGTGTCCTACTGGCTGCCCAGTTATTCACTGGATTTGGTTAATGGAGGTTCTAGATATCAGAGAGCTGAGTTTGTGGAACAGCACATGTAAAAGTCATGGGGCAGAATCTGATGTGTGCGTCTGTTGTATCTGCATCTCCTGTCTTCTTGGGTTTAGGTTCCCTTCCAAAGGCTTACAATTCTGTTTCCAAGGGTGTGGACCACAATCTAAACTGTGCATAGTACCTGAGAGGCCAGACCAGATGACATTGTGTGCCTTTACTCTGGGTTCGGTGGGATCCAGAGGGTACCTCTGACTGGATGTGGCCAACTTCAAAGACCTTCTTGCCCAGTGCAGGTGAGGACAGTGAGGACTGTCACATGTGTGATGTGCTGTGTATACAGCAAGACTTGGCAGGTCCAGACAGGGCCTCAAGACAGAGTCAACTGACTTAGCACTGACCTTCTCGGTCGGCTGCTGGAGGATGGGCAGGCTTTCCTGCAGTCTGTCCAGCCCTCGGTGTGCATACTCGCTGGCCGTCACAACTGCAGGGAGAAAACACACACTCACTGTAATGCCCTTCAAAGGTGGGGAAACCTAGGACAGGTTTCAGGGAACTGGAGATCAGAAGTGGGGGTGATTCCTTCCAAATATGGCCATGAAGGGCATTCTCGACACCTTGGGGTCGTCAACTCACTCTGGGGCTCCAGCTTGGATAGGATGGGCTGTGCGCTGCTGACTGCAGCCGTGGTGAGGGTCTTGACGCCTTTCTCGGCTGCATCGCACACAGTCCTGACATGGGGGTAGATCTCCTTGGTGGAGGTGTAGGCAGCGCTCACCATCCCACACGTGGAGCTGATGAGAGGCAGGTTGGCAACCCGGTCCACCACACTGGGCTACAGAGGGCAGGGAACTTGGTGAGAAGCTCGGGATACCTACTAGCATGCTCTCATTTTGGGGGAACAAATCTGCTGGGCTCTACCACTCCTAGGATGAACAATTGCACAAAGCAGGAACCTGAATGTCCCAGCATGGGACTGACCACCTAGTGACATGTCAGGAAGTGCGGTGACTGAGGAATCCCATTTTGTTGTTGTTGTTGTTGTTTCTTCCTGTAATTTTAGGACTGGGTCTCACTGTGTAGACCACACTGGCCTGGAACTCACAGAGATCCACCTACCTTTGCAGCTATACCGAGCTTGTCTGAAGAACTGCATTTTTGTTAAAGCATTGGCCAACCACATAACAGGCCCTTGTTTTCATTCCCAATCCTTGAAACCAAGGGAAATGGCGCATGATGTTGTTCAGCACAGGCTAGGACCTCAAGGTTGTATGATGACCTTGACGCCTGGACTACACAATGAATTGGAATTCATCCTGAGCTCAATGATACTGTCTTGGAGAAACAGGGGAGAGAGACAGAGATATGAGGGGAGAGAGAAACAGAGTGAGAGAGGGAGTGCACATGAACACCTGTCCTATCACTCACAGGCTAGAGGATCAGGGGTTCAAAATCATCCTCAGCCATATAGTGAGTTTGAGGCTATCCTGGGCTACATGAAACCCTGTATTGAATGTAAAGGAAAAATGGAAGGCTGCATCTAGGCGTTTAATCCCCAGCATTCACAAGACAGACATAGGGAATCTCTGTGAGTTCCACACTAGCCTGGGCTACATATCAAGACTATCATAAACAAAAAGAAGAAAGAGAAAAGACGGAAGGAGGGAGGGAGACCTCCTGACTTCCCCCCTGACTAGCCCCTTCAGCAGCACAGGGCTCCCTAAAGCTCAGGCCCCTCACCTGCACCACAGCTTCCTCCTCGGCAGCCTGGGCTTCAGCAGGCACATCTGTCCCGTTGCTAGACATGGTCTCGGCAGCAGTTGCTGTGGGCAGAAGACAGTCAAGTGACAGTCAGCCCTCCTCCCTCCAGGGAAAGCCAGGAACACAGGAAGCACAGTTATCTGTGAACCTTCAGCCCTCTCAGAACCCTGTCATCAGCTCAGAAGGTCCAAGGCGGGGCCTGGCTCACCTTAGCTCCGCCCAAACTGCTAACCTAATGGTGCTGGCGGAGATCCAATCCAGCTCCTCAGGTACACTCAACAAAGCTGCACCTCTGGTCACACCCCAGCCCCTCACTGGGGGATTCTAGGCAGGGGCTCCATTCCTGATCATGCCCCAGCCTCTTGCTTCAGAACCCCTAACTCTGGGTGGTTGTGACAGGGTCCTAGGCGACATCTGGCAGACATGTCCCTTTAAGGCTCACTTCTGCCATCCATTAGGAGACAGGTCAGGTCCAACACTTCTTCTCTCAAGGGTACTGTTTCCTCACAGCCTCCTTCCGTGTGACCAGACAGTTGACGCTGATCCCACAGTTGTGCCCATTTGTGAGTTTCAACATGACAAATAGGGACAACCTAGTTGCCCAGCAGCAGGGGATTTAAAAACAAAAGCAATGTGTGTTCAAGTTAAAACAGAGACCTCTCGCAAGTCAAGAAGTTCTGAGGCAAATGTCTGAAACACCCAAGATTCTCTTTCTCTCTCCTTAAAGAGTATTTTGGGAGTTGGAAAGATGGCTCAGGAGGTGCAAACCATGTACTGTTCTTTCAGAGGATCTGAGTTCAATTCCCAGCACCCATAGCACAGGGTTCACAACTGCTTGTCCCTCAAGCTCAAGGACACATGGCCTCTATGGCACCACACTGACATTCATACGTGCAACACACAACTAAAAATAAGTTAAGCCAGGGGTGATGGTGTGTGTCTTTAATCTCAGTGTTTGGGGGTAGAAGCAAGAGGATCTCTGTGAGTCCCAGATCAACCTGGTCTACAGAGTGAGACCCAGTCTCAACAAAACATAAAGCAAAAATAAGCAAATATAATAAATCTTATAAAGATCTATGTTTAGTTTTGTTTATGTGCATGCAGACTCCAGGAAAGAGCATTAGGCCCCTGGAGCTGGAGTTAGGCTATATAAGGAGCCTGAGGCTGGCGCTGGGACTGAACCTGGGTCCCCTGCGGGAGCAGCAAGTGCTCTTAACTGCTGACCCGTCACTGCAGCCTGAGTCTACTTGTCTTTACATAGATGTTAGAAGACCAGAAGCTTGATGAACAGAGGACAGTGTTCAGAGAGGTAGAAGCCTGGCATACGAATTTTAGGACAGGTAGGTAGTATTACTTGTTTTAAAACCAGTTAAAAACTGGGCCGGGGGGGGGGGGGGGCTGGAGAGATGGCTCAGTGGTTAAGAGCACTGACTGCTCTTCCAGAGGTCCTGAGTTCAATTCCCAGCAACCACATGGTGGCTCACAACTATCTTTAATGGGATCAAATGCAGTCTTCTAGTGTGTCTGAAGACAGCAACAATGTACTCACATACGAGAGAGAGAGAGAGAGAGAGAGAGAGAGAGAGAGAGAGAGAGAGAGAGAACTGGGGATGCCCATTCAAGATGCCCCAGAACCACAGACACCAAGTGTAATGGCACATGCCTGTCATCCCAGCACTTGAGGAAGGTCAGAAATCTAGGCCATGTTCCACTACACAATGAATTCTAGGCCAGCCTGGACGCCATGAGATTGGCTGGTGTTGTCTGCAGGATGCTCAAATCGGCAGCTAAGCCATAGTGGGTGCTCAGTAAACTAGTCTGACAAGCCCCAGCAGTTAGGTTTGTGATAAAGATTTCCCAACAGGGGAGTCAGGTGATGCTGTCATGGCTTACCTAAACCCAGTAACTGTCACCTGGTAAGGTGGGTGGCAAAACCCGACTGATCCCTTAGGAGTCAGACACCTCTATCCCCATCCCAAGCAAGGGATGCCACTGTAGACAAACACCTTTTGCTCTTTGTGAGTACGTGTGACATCTGATCTCCCTACACCTGGCTCCAGCTGACCCTCCCCCACAACCCCGCCCACAAGATGACTTTCTCAGCTGAGAAAGCCAGAAAAGCCCTCAGGGTCAAAACCCAGCATGTAGCCAAGGCCTAGAAGTGGTTCAGGGAGTCTTTCTGCCAGGTTTAGTGACAATGCTGTCATCCCAGCATTATTGGTGGAGGCAGGGGGATGGCAAATTCCAAGCCGCCCTAGTTTAGAGTAGGATCATTTCCAAAAACGATTAACAAGACAGAAACAAAACACTGAATTTGAGAGATTCCAAGAGAGGGAGGCACCAGGCTCGGCTGGGGACAAGATTGCAGGTCACAATCTCCTGTAGAACAGGCCTGGCTTTGTGCAGGGCCCCTCCACCCTCATCCCCACCCCTACACACTCCAGGGCCTGGGGCTAGTGCACGTCCGTTAAAACTATTTGTGACTGCGGCTGCTGGGTTGGTTGTTCTTGGGGACAGGAGACTCAGTATCACCGGGAGGAGGGAGGAGCCACAGCACAGGACACTTGGGACGTGCGTTTGAACACAACTCTCATTCTGAGGACCCAGGACGGTGGAATCCACCTTTTTTGACTCTCGGGGACTCCGTCACTGACGGGGACGCTAAGATCCTAGGGTGGCCAGGCCAAGAGTTGGAAGCGCTGCAAAAGTTAGGTCCTTGGGTAAAAAGTTAAAGTCTCCTCTAAAAGTAGGGTTTCCTAGCGTGCAAAGATTTTGGAATACCCGAGTCCTCCCAGGGAAGCCTCGTTTCTCCCACCTCTTAAGGGCGCCTCAAGATCGATCCTGCCCCTCGCCCCCCAGCTCTCACCAAAGTCCTCAGGTCGTCTAGAAGAGGAAACCTCCCCTAACAAGTCCAGCTCGGATCTACCGGGAGGGGTGGGGGCGGCCTTGTGGATCCCCGTGAAGGGAGGGGCCTTAGAGTGACGGGACAAAGGGCCAATCAGTGATCCCCGTGGTGTAGTTCCGCCCACCCTTCTAAGGCGACCCAGCCCAGGTTGCCTGCGTTAGTTGAGTCCCAGAAAGACCTGGAGTCCTGATCCTGGATGGAGGGAAGGAGACCCATTCTAGGGTCCTTGAATCCTCCCATGTTTCCGGAGACCTCAGAGAGGCTTCCAGATCCAAGGAATGGTTGAGTGACATTTTTAGAAGTCCATCAGACCCAGGGGAATCAATAGCCAGGAAGATACACCCCCTGAACCTCAGCCCTGATTGGGTCCTAAAGGAAAGCCTGCTGTCATACAGATTGAGGCTCTTATTGTCCCAAGGCCTCTGGCGGACGAGGGCACTGAGGCCCTGAGACAGCCAGCCATGAGCAGCATCCGGCTTTCTGCTCCTGGACCCCTGGATCTACCCTTTCCTGAAGATACTTCCGGACTTTTTTTTTTCCATCCCTAAATCTTCTTTTTCCCCTTGGTCTGTAAGCCAAATGTTAACCTCTGACGGCTGGAGGGGCTAAGAAAGAGGTTAATGTATTTGTTGTGGGTGTGACTACGTGTGGAGTTGTGAAAAATGTGCACAGGCGTTTGCAACTGCGCATGCACGGATGTGAGCCCGGGCGGGAGACGACCCACCCTTACTGAGTTACTGCAGATCTTTCCAGACTTCCGCCCGGCACCTCCCTCTTTTTCTACGCTGCCCTGACTCAGACCGAGTTCCTTATCTTCCTGCTTTCAGTGAACAATGCCGCCTTCACAGGGGCAGTGGCGGGATGGGGCATGGTGCCACCAGGTGGCGCCCTGCTGGCAACAGCGCCCGTCCCCTTTGTGCCCCTCAACGGTGGCCCTTCCCTCTCTGCCTCCGACGCCGCTCCTTCCCTCACAGAGCCCCTCCACTCTGTGTCGCCCTCCCGACGGCTCCCCTCCTCTCTCCCCGATGTCGACTCTCTGTGTTCCTTGATGAGCAACCAGACCCATCTGTGTCATAGAAGGCATGTCCTATTAACCTTGGGCCTGGCCCATGGCTCATTAGCTGTGTATACAGGCATTCAACAATTAGACACATGCTGTACGCAAAGGTCATGTAGGGCAGTCCCAGGGACATAGTCTGGACCCTCTCAGCTTGGACCCTCGTGGGAAGACAAGCCAGCAGAATAGCATTAAGATTTTAGGGGGATACCGGGTGGACAGAGCTACACAGTGACTGTCTTAAAACAAAACAACAGTATTGGGGGACTGATTCTAAGGAATTTTTAAAGTGTACATTACATCTATTTGTTTAGGGGCACTCATATTCCACTAGTGTGTGTGGAGGTCAGAAAAGAGCACACAGGAAGTCATTTCTCTACACCAGGCACAGAGAACCTGGGGACTGAGCTCAGGTCTGTGGAATTGCAGCAACTCCCTTTCTCCTCCCTTTCTCGCTGATCCATTTCACTGGCTTTGTCTCACTGAGGCCATCCCCCTGCCTCAGTCTCTCAGTGTTGGAATGAAAGGCATCCTTTTAATTTTAGGAGAAATTAGGAGCTAGTGCCCAGTGCTCAACCAGTATACACAAAACTTGGGTTCTGCCTCCAGCACCACATCCACCAGGAGTGGCACATGCCTGTCACCTCAGCACCCAGAGCTAAGGCAGGGAGACCATGGAGATCAGTTCAAGTGCTACCCAGTGAGTTTGAGGTTGGCCTGAGTTACATGAGATTGGAGCAGGAAAAACAATGGAAGATGCTAAATGAAAGAGGAGCTCTAGCCGGGCGGCGGTGGTGCACGCCTTTAATCCCAGCACTCGGGAGGCAGAGGCAGGCGGACTTCTGAGTTCGAGGCCAGCCTGGTCTACAGAGTGAGTTCCAGGACAGCCAGGGCTACACAGAGAAACCCTGTCTTGAAAAACCAAAAAAAGAAAGAAAGAAAGAAAGAAAGAAAGAAAGAAAGAAAGAAAGAAAGAAAGAAAGAAAGGAAGGAAGGAAGAGCGAGCTCTCTGTCTGTGTGCTTACTCTTTGAAGGATAATTAACAGCCACAGGCCCTTGCTGTAACTCAGTGACCTGATGGACAGCTGCTATTCATGTCT